GCTGAGAACTGCACTTGTCCAGAGTTTATGACATTTTTGTAAAGATTAGTAACGATGTTTTCCTTCACCGCCAAACATGCGGTAAATCAGTACTTCAAACTGTAACGAAAAGATTCACCGCCGAGCACGGCGAGCGCGTAGTCCCTGTAGAAAACTTAAACTACGTTCTAAAAACGAAAAACGTGTAGTCAAAAATTCTATTTTAAAAAGGTTTCATTAGTACCTTCTTAATATTCTCAAATCGTCTTGCCCTCCACATCAAATTCGTATAACGTTGAAACGGTTAAAAATATAATATATAGATAATTTGTGAACGAAAATAGACGCGCCACGTGGGGGCGGCGGCGACCTTAATATGTATTGCTTAACAAGCATAGGTACTGTTAAACCAATTAAACTTGTGAAAACGTCTACTTAACAATTTTATTATTGTAGGTAAGTACTATTAGAGGTTTTACTAAGTAAAATATAGAAAAAATATACCTACCTAAAGTATGTTTCTAGTCTAAAAAGTTGTTATCTAATATAGTCATCTCTAGATCTAGTGATAATTGTAACATTTTAGAGAGGCAGATGCAATTTTCACGAAATGTGTGGACTAAAAGAAATTATTGTGGTTTAATTCGTAAAATAATACATTTAAAAAATTGGTGAAATTTAGTAAGGAAAAATTTAATTGGTAAAATTATGTTCAATAGATAAATAAATGTAATCTTCTCGACTATAATAAATGTAATAATAGTAACGAAATAGTCAGAAAAATATTTTTATTTATAATTCAAACAAAATTTTTAATAAACTATTTAGTTCCGGTGTTAGGATTCACTATCCTATATCTCCCCGAGGGTATAAGGGAATATAAGGGAATTTTAAAATAATGCAACTTGAATATTAACATGTATACAAAATACAATATTTATTTATTTCCAAATGTAGAGTAAAACACAATTTTCATAGTAGTCTTAAATCGTCATTTTCAGACATGTTTATTTATTTACATGTGGTCGCACACTAAGCAAGCTTGACTCGTTGGTACCGACAACAAAGTTTTCCAATAAGAATGGTAAGGCAACGCGTGTCCGTGCATGAGTAACGCAAATATGTTATAATAACTAAAAACAAACCAAGGGTAAAGAAATACAAATTATCTGTTATATAAATGCTCATATATATATATAATTTATTGAATTTAAAAGATAAAAAAAATCTAAAATATTAAATGATATCCTCCATATATGGATTACACGTGTTTTCATAAAGGTAGAAATAATATCTAATTAGTTCAGTAATATCATATTATATTTATAGAAGACACCATTCACGTGTCTCTACCTGGAACTACGCAACACGAACTCTACCTATGTACCTACGTCATAATTACTATATACAATGTGTCCGGTTACCGGTGTCGGAGCTTTTAATGCTATAAAATATAATCAATTTCATCGACAAATCATGTCTCAAATCTCATTTAGACCTAGCTGTATTTAAATGGCAGCCATTTAAATTTTTCAGTGTCACCACCTCGACCCCGCTCATTAAAATTACAATATTCACCGATGTAGAAATCCTACATTCTTAAAAGATGTCTCAATGGGTAGATAAATATACGCGTAATAAAATAAAAGCAAACTTTTAACTGAAAAAATGTATTTAGATCCTAAAAAGACTAAGAAAAGAAAAAAAATTAAAAAAAAAGTCGGTTATTTTTTCACATTTTCGACTTTAATGAAAAAAGTCGGTCGTTTACCTATCAATTTTGTACATTTATTAGATAGAGCAAGATTTTTCCTTAACATAAACGTTAAAATCTTAATTGTAAATTAAATAGTTTAAGAATTGTACTTTATCAAACACGACCTCTTAAAAGCGCAAGCCGCACGTGCAGGATCATTTATGATAGTTCAAGAGCAGGTTGAAAAACCCAAAGCCCATTGTTTGATGTTCTAAACAAGTGTACTTGGGACAACAAACAGTCGTCCCTCGCCACGCGTTGTGATTACAATACTTTCGGCCCTCTAAGATCGCTTGTTGTTGTTATTGTTAAAAAAAACCGTTTTGTGGAACTTTTTAAGTTTGTGGTGAAGTTTCAAGTTATTTTGATATTTTCAAAAATGGCAGATGGTGAATACTCAAACCAGCATGTCGCTGATATCCACTTTGTGTATGTGCAAACAGAGCTGTCACAGAGTACGCCAGAATGTTTCCCAACAGACGTACACCAAATGCTCGCACTTTTGTAAGGATACATTTGCGGATAGCTGAACTTGGGATCAGAACACCCGCTAAAGAAAAATTTCGGCTTGTGGCACCTGAGGAAGAAGAAGAGATATTACGTTTAATTACACAAGATCCCAGACTCAGTGTAAGACGAATAAGCAATATGCTTAATTTAACAAAATGGTCAGTGTGGAGAGTTTTAAAGAGGGAAGGTTTGCATCCTTACCATTTTCAACGGGTACAAGACATTCGCGAACCCGATTATGCTATAAGGGCAGTTTTTTGTTCGTGGATCAATAGAAGAACAAGACAAGATGCAGATTTTTTAAAAAGAATTTTGTGGACTGACGAAGCCACTTTCACGAGATCGGGTTATACAAATCACCGTCACGAGCATCTGTGGCTTCAAGAAAACCCTCATGCTGTTAGAGAAAGTACTTTTCAACATGAAATTCGAGTGAACGTTTGGGCTGGAATAAAAGACGATATTTTAATTGGGCCGATAATTTTACCAGAAACTATGAATGGCCCAAGATTTTTAGAGTTTTTGCAAACACAGTTTTTGGAAGAATTAATGGAGCTTCCATTAACTCACAGAGCAAGGATGATTCTCCAACTTGACGGTGCACCTGCACATTTTGCAGTAAATGTGCGAAATTATTTAAATGAGCGCTATTCGCCGTGGATTGGTCGCGGTGGAGGGATCGCTTGGCCTCCGCATTCACCGGATTTAACTCCCTTAGACTTTTTTCTATGGGGCACTATGAAGCAAAGAGTTTATGCGAATGTGCCAAACTTACGAGAAGAGTTGATTAATAAAATAATCGAAGTTGGAAATGAATTGCGACAAGATCGGGAAATGATCAGACGTGCAACTCAACATGTAGCAATAAGGGCTACAACATGTCTCCAACATCGCGGAGGTCATTTCGAACAGTTTTTATAAATAACTTTTTAGTTACGTGCATTTTGAAATGTTGTGTTTCATTCTTCTCATCAATTCACTTTGTCTGTCTGCAACCAGGGCGACAAATTTTTCAAAGGTCATATTCAAACAGTTATAATACTGATTTTTTTTTGGTTACAATTAAGATTGTTATGTTTTTGGTTAGGAAATGTTCTGATCTATCTGATTAATGTAAAAAATCATTAGGTAAATGACTTGCTTTTTTCATTAAAGTCGAAAATGTGAAAAAATAACCGATTTATTTTTACATTTTTTTTCTTTTCTTAGTCTTTTTAGGATCTAAATACAATTTTGCAGTTAAAAGTTTGCTTTTATTTTATTACGCGTATCTTTATCTATCCAATGAGACATCTTTTAAGAATGTAGGACTTCTACATCGGTGAATATTGTAATTTTAATGCGCGGGGTCCAGGTGGTGACACTGAAAAATTTAAATGGCTGCCATTTAAATACAGCTAGGTCTAAATGAGATTTGAGACATGATTTGTCGATGAAATTGATTATATTTTATAGCATTAAAAGCTCCGACACCGGTAACCGGACACATTGTATAAGTCTCCTTCAATTTAATAAATTATTATTGTTAAATCAGTGATTTAGTAGAGGTATCAAGTTAAAATTAATATTTAAATAAGATAATATTCAATTGGAGGTATAAATATCTAACTTCAAATCAATGTACTATTTTAAAGATATGGTTTTTAGGTCATATTTTTTGATACCCGTTAACTCGTTTTTCTAGTGCACAGCTAAGTTTATCCTTAATCCGCTTTTCTTTTTCGTTAGAACAATGTTCGGTGCTTACGACACCTATAATTTATGAATTTCAGTAAATCAATTATTTTGATAAAAGGTTACTTAACTGATTACACGTGTTTTTGTTACCTATTCTATATAAATGAATATCTTTCGTCTATCAGTATCGAAATCGTCGGGGCTCTTGACATCCGGGACAGTCCCATTGTTACTGTAAATCGTACGACACTTAATTTAAAAAAAAAACTGAAAATATTACTGATATGTGAAGTTCAATAAAAACGCGATAAAATCCGTAGAATAGTTTTATTCACTGTGCGGGTAATTATAAGAAATCAAAAAGTAAAACTATAGTGGGGAGATTTAATGTTCTCATAAAGATGGGGATTTAACTATCTATTATATTACTCGTACATTATTACTTATCCAAAACATAGCAAATAATATTACATAAAATATAACAGAAACAAATCAAATTAAAACATATATATATTTGTATATCGTTTTTCTTCTTTTTAAGCCTCTGTACATTTACTTGATGATTTTTTGACCTTAGGGTTCTACTCGCTCTTTTTTAGACGATTTTTCAGTTTGATTCCCAGCTCAAACAAGTGAATATTCAAAATCTTCTAGTATAATTTTAGTCAAGAATACATCTTCAGGATTACTGTCCATCACAAGACCGATAATGAACTACTTGAATGTATTGTTTAAGTCTGAAATTTGATTTCCGACTATCAAAATACACAATACAAAACCACACGACACAGTAATTAAAAATTAAGAATTAAAAACCGACATCAATATATTATTAAGGATAACTCAAAACCTATTGGTCATAACTTGGTCAAATTTATATGGAACCACATGAAAAGCAGCAGCTTTGAAATAAAATAAGAATCGAAATCGGTTCACGTAGAACAAAGTTATGAGGTAACACACATTTAATAACATACAGTCGAATTGAGTACTTCCTCCTTTTTGAAGTCGGTAGAAACGATTCTACTTTAACTCTAACGTAACTAAAGTTCTATTAATTTGCTTTACTTGGTTTCAGTTGGAACAAGATGGTTATGTGGTGTTGGAAGACTTCCTTCGACCAGCGGAATGCGATGAGCTGGTTGAAGTGGCTCTCGAATTTACAAAACAAGTAGCAGATGCTAATCCCAAGCCCATTTTCTCAAGCGTTGATCCAGATCAATTAGTAAGTATTTTTATGTACATTACTAACTCTATCACTTAGACATATATAAAATCTATGTGATGGGCTTCGTAATGAAGGCATCCACAGTAGAATCAGATTAACCGACATAATCCGACGGATCTGTAAGCGGGAGTGGCAAAGCTCGAAGAGCTGACAGGCTATGGGGAAGAAAGGTTTTTGAGTGGCAGTCTCGCACCAGTAAGCAAATTGCGACCCTGTGAATACTTGGTAAGAGATGCAGGAATTCGTTGGCTAGAGGTGGCTCAAGACCGTGCTTTGTCGCATTTCTTTGATAGACCTATATTCAGTAGTAGACTTGTGATGGACAGTAATTATGATGAATTTAATATAGTCTAGTATTTTTTTTAAATACAGTGTTTCCTATTATTTCGCTGTCCTCTTTGTGCGGTACTTTAAAAGCGGTTATTATAAAGTTCAACTGTTAAAATAACAATATAAAAATTAACAAATTGATTTAATAATTAAATAAAATTATCATAGTATTATACCAATCCATTCAAAACAATCCATGATTTCATTACTTCACAACATCTAGCGTTTATTTTACGTACCACCTTGAGTGTCAGTGAATTTTTGTTTGATAAAATGACTTTACCTATAGAATTAAGTAGATGACGCTTACAAAGCAATTTTACTCAAAATAAAATATTCTTTTGATTTATTACACTAAAATTTAGACCAAATTAATTTTGGTAACATTTATTTATATGCCGCACTTGTGGTTAAAAATAATCTTATTACTCGTAAATAAGTGCGTGAAGTATTTATATTTCATTTCATTTGAGGGTTTCGCGCGTATTTTTTACATTCTTTTTTAAAACATATTATTTTGAAACACATATTTTTGGAAAACTTCTTTATAATCATTGTGATTTGAATTTCAATGAAACGAAAAAGCGACACTAAAAAGCGACAAACATACATTTATAGGATTTGGCCTATGTGTAAATGAGAAAGAATATAGTATACAGTGTTTTCTTATTAATTTTTTCTCATTTTCGCAAACTTTAGTTTTCTGAAATTTTCACTTCTACCGCGTGTAAACAGCAAACGTTTTTTTAAAAGTAGTAACGTGTTAGTTGAAGACAAATGACATCTATAAACAGAACATCTATAACAGTTTGATCTGAAATATTAGTTTTAAACATTACAGCAACTGAAGGATGCGTATTTCATGGAAAGCAATGACAAAATCAGTTACTTTTTCGAAGCCGACGCTGTCAGCCCTAACGGCGAGTTAAAAGTTGACCCCAGCATTTCATTAAACAAGGTAAGTGAAATCTTAGTAAACCGTATATACTTTCGTACATAAGTTACAGCCGCATGAAAAACTTAACGTTTGCCACCAACTAATGCCGTATTAAACCTAGGACCACGGCGGTCATGGCCCGTAGGCGTTAAAATGTAGAACTTCCGGGTATTTTTTCTTCCTAAGATGTTTTATACGTTGAGAAATTCACCTAGTCCCCACGGTGTTCACCTCTTCACCTTTTTCCGGGACTACGAAAACTCTATCACGGTAGCACTAACGGCGGTAGTTTATACAATAAATGGAGCTGTACTACACGCACAATTTCGATGCCTAGGCCTCAATTATAGGGGTCGAAAAGGGCCTGATATACTTTCTTTCGGCGTCTGGTGCTCCAGCTATGCATTGGGATATTTGTACTTCTTTTCCTCTCCCCTTTCCAGAATGTAAAGGGGCTTTGAAGTCGTATCCAATTATAGCTTTAATGGTGGCACTCGTTTGCTCTCTTTTGACTTTATGGTACGAGTACAAGTACATCCCAACACACTTGGAGCCGGAGTTCCGAGCGCCAATTGATACATGGACGCAAGGAACTCCGCTTTCAAGGCCCAGGGAGGAGAAAATGCCAAAACATCCGCCACTTCGCATTCGTATCGCCGTATGACTCAGACGACTATCGCCGTCTAAAGCTTTCTCAAAAAGGCAAATGAGCCATTGTAGTTTCCAACTTATGCCATTAAATACATATAACATATATTTTGTTCAAAATCGAATAAGCAAGTGCAACACTCCTATTCCCAGAAGTGCACACTGCAATACTCGTAATGCAAATGCTAAAAGGCACCTTTGCAGACGGTGAATACTACGTGTATTATTATTAATACCCTAAAGCAATACTTAAAATACGAAATTGCGTCTGAGATTGCAAACATTTTCAATGAAATGATATAATTTTCAGACATAATTTTATAAATTTCACACTTACTTTAGAATTCAAATCAAATATACTGCTCATGTACGGTTATTTTTTTAGACACATCTGCATAAATTATTCTCCGTTCTGAATATTTAACATTAAGTTTGTGTTTAAGATAAACCGCATTATATTAAACACGAACTTAATGTTAAATATATATCAACTTTTTGATTTTATTTTACTGATTCACGTGTCTAAAGAATATCTCTGAAATAAACTAGACGAGAATATTCTATCATGTTTTATTTCGTTTTAAATTAAAGACAAAAACGGTTTTCGTTTTATATTTCAATATTAAGCGCTTAACAGAATGGAGAGATTTTTTAATAATATAATTCGTTGCGTAATTTTAACACGCCATAAATTTCAAACAAAAACTTATACCTTCTTCTTACTTAAAACGGAGACTTTTTAAAAAACAACCACCTAATTCTAAAGACCACGTTTAGTATCTTACCTAACTTTAATAAATAAACTTTAAACCTGCTACGAATTAAATTTATATACATAATTCTGTGATGTTTTTGGTGTACAAGCCTATGTTAGCCCCAGTCGTTTTCATAATGATTTCTTATGTTTACGCGAACACTACACATTGAAATACTGCAGTCTGTGAACACGTACAGGACCGCCTCGTCACTACGTCAGATTTGATACACCGTTGTTGAAGAACACCGATTCTTTCCAAGGATGATTCGCCAGGCTATTGAAATCAAAAAATATTCTAATTTCAATAGAGAAGATGGCTGGCTGCTACCATCTGCTGGGGATCCTATAATTAATAAAATTTAAATCCCAACCATAGCATACAACTGCAAGACTTCAAGTAATATAAGTTCATAGTTCATACTACATAGATCGGACTAAAAATTTTATCTGAAGGTAGTGAATTATGACATTATATACATGGTGAATTATGACATTGAGACGTCGAACCCTCGTGACCACATACTGTAAAGTACTCGAAACTTCAGAAATAAATAAGTTAATATAACGCGATAAAATCCATAAAAACTAGTTTCATCTCATTGATTTTTCTGTCAGTGCGCATACATGTTATCTACCGTAAATATTAAATATGAAAAAAATACACACAGTAGGCTTCAGACAAAAACAATCTTGCCTCGTATATGACTTGTGTGTAAAGAATATAGATGACAAACGAGATGATGGTAAGTGAATGATGTGGCCCATAATCATCACATTTATCTAGTAGTCACACTTGAGGGCTAAGATGGAATACCTCGTCTCCAGTAAAAAGGGTCTTTGGTTCTCTACACTCACCATATGACACACAACAGCATTAAGCTACTATTTTAAGCTGGTATTCTGTGGGAGCGTGATACTACTCCGGTCGAGCCGGCCCATTCGTGCTGCAACCATAACATAGCTGTTGTTAATAAATAAATAAAAGTTGTATAAATATAATATATGTTTATATTATTTGTTGTTTACCTCGTACATACAAAAACTGTCAACTCTGTCATGCTTTTTAGGCATTAACAGTACTTAAGATAAGGTATTGATTGAGAAATTGTCACAATTCTTAATGAATTAATGATTCGATGTCTGTATTTGTGGATTTATGTAAATGAAAGAAGACTGAGGATAAAATCCGATGATATTGGTGGGGTTATAGGAAAATTAACAAACAGAGGTCTAGCAAAGGGGAATTATTTGTCTCCTCTGCTCTTTAATATTGTATCTCATAAGATTTGCCAAGTAGTTTATAATATAATTTATTTCACAATATGCGAATGTCTTTGTGTTTAATTTTAAAAATAAATGCTTAAATGACAGTATAAAACGTATTCAAAACGCTCTTAATTCCATGAAGCATCTGTGCCTACAGATTTCATGTAATATTACGAGCACGTACAACACACAAATTGCCAATGTAGAACCGATTTTTACATAGACAAATCAAGTACAAAGTAACAAAAATATTAATATGTTTTTTTGTTTTGTTTGAAATTGTTTAAAAACAAAAATTCTCGATAATAAAAAATCACAAAGTTACCTCTTATTTTCATCGAGAACCGGTTTGTTCTGGCCGTGGTGCATATTATCAAGCAAAAAATTTAATAAATTACATCACTTATGTAAGCTCATAGTACTGTCCTTATGGAATGTTAAAAATTAATCACATTCTTCGAGTTATTGAATAAATGCATATTTGTCGCGTACTATATCTTTATTCCTTCAAGTATGTTTTTGTTTTCTTTCACGCATCAGTCACAATCGCTCTGTCAAGACGGGAAGACTTTGTTTATGTGTTGACCGCGCCAAATAATTGATCATATTGTACACGTTGTACATAAATAGGTCGATAGGTGAAACATACGTTCATACTACATACACCGGGCATACAGTTGTTAGCCAAGCGATATTCAGAAATATTATTATTATTCTCGTCATTTAATTTAAATCTACATTGTACAATAATTCAAATTGTAACAAAATTTATAAAAAGACAATTTTTTTTTGGTTTGCTAGACATTTTTTAAAACCATATTGTCTTTTTAAATATATAATCTAACTATCAAAAAGTTACGCACCCCTGCTATTCCTAATAACCTTGTATTGATTTTATTTACATTTGGTATCGCTTCTCGTTGGCCGTACTTTAGTCAAGTTATATACAGGGACCGGAGTAACAAGGTAGGGTTATGGCGAACAACAAAGCGCAATAACGGAATTGTCATATTTATGTATGTTCCTTTGAGTAGACTCGCCTGGAAATATCTATCATTACTATTTAGGGAGTAGTATATTCCTTGTTTACTAATAAACTCAAGCGCTATCGTATGGCTATCGTCATTAGCGCGTAATAAATGCAAAATAATGTCTTGTCTGCTATTGGCCTGTTGGTCGCTAAGATACTAATTTTATTCGCAATTATTAATATTTTGTAAGGAAATATATAAGCAAAGGGCTAACAATAAATATAATTTCAAATTTGAAAATAACATACAAATTAAAAGAAATTAATAATAATAGTGTTAAAAATTATAAAGGAAAAAATTAACAATAATAATGTAAAAGGACAATAAATGATAATGACCCGACCACCGTTCGAACCTGGGAACTCGCGATTAGCAATACCGTTTACGTCCATATATTTAGGAAATAAATTTATAGTAAACGAACTGACAAATATACGAAAACAAATTAATAATAATAATGCCATAATTTATAAAGTAAAAACTTTAATAATAATAAAGTAAAAAACAGACAATTGACATAGTCCTTACCACGAATTCGAAACCTAGACTAGACTTGCGGAGGCAAGGATGGCTTATGTCGGACTCGCACCGACTAAAACCCTATATGTTTCCTACATCCGCGGCCCCACCAGCCAGCGCTGGTCAGCCCATGACGGCCCTTCCTCGGGAGAGGACTACTCCTCCCCCATCTCCTTCTCTGGTAAGGCATATCAGAACACATGACGCGCCCTCCTCCGCAGCCTCCAACTTCACCTGCGCAACGGACGCCCCCGTGTTATTTTAATAGATGATAATAATCCCTGGGAATTATGTGATCACTACCAAGCTATTTATAATTTGTTTTGTGTTGTTAAGTAGCCTCGCTGGGTTTCTGGCTGATTCTTCCCAGGACAGAGGTTTTTTCCGAACCAGCGGTAAATAAACCAAAGAGTGACTTTCAATAACTATTATTTATAATCTATATTAAATAAGAAAATCTGTTTCTGTTTCTGATTTTATTCCATATCCGATGCGCGAAGTCCATGGGGCCAGGAAAAACGAGCACTCAGAAGCACTAGCATTCCTGACCCCAGCGGCGGATCTGGTCTATGCCTCTGCCACCAACCAAGATTCGGCTGCGGAGGGTAGGGAGAGTGGCGCATCGCCATACCAACACTCCTCATCCTCCGCGACTCCACCTCGGCTACAGCGGTAAAGGAAGAGGACACCCCTCTTGTCGCAGCCCACCAACTCACATCTGAAATGGGCTCCTCAAGCCCACTCGGAGTGGCCACCTCGAACCGGCTCTACACATCTAGGGCTAGCCATGTGGGTTCCACTTAGTTCACCGTGGGTAACCAGGCTACAGCTACTAAGCTCGCCGCCATGACAAGACGGGAACCCATTCGGGGGGGTCTAACCCTAGACCTAGAGATTAACAATAGGATTTCCGACTATTACACCAACGGGGCAGTTAGTTAATCGATGAAATTATTTATCAAGTTATTTGCAGCATTTGAAGTGAAACTTATTTAGGATCGTTGTTATTTGAAACACTATGAAACGAAAAATCCTTAATCTATGTATCCTTTCTAGTCCAGTAGCTTGAAAATGTCTTCCAATGCAGCGATGATGAGTTTCGGGGATATTACATTACCCTGTCTTATATCTCTCTGCAGTTGGATAGGTTTCGTACTCTGTTCCTGTACTCGGATAGCCATCGTAGCCCTACTGTACAAACACTTCAGCACTTCGATATACCGACAGTCAACTTGACATCGCTGAAGGGACTGTAGCACCGCCCAAATTTCGAAGGAATCAAAGACTTTCTCATAGTCCAAATACGCCAGATAAAATGGCAGATTGACTCTTCGGTCTTCTGTACAATTTGCCAAAGAGTATGTATGTGATCTATATGGTACTACAGCCTTTTTGGAAACCGGCTTGTTCGGTAGCTAATTCCATCCGCGCCCGGGGACTTGCTGTTTTTAACATGCTTGAGAGCCATTGTAATCTCGCTCAGACTGACGTCCAAGATATCATCGGAATAGTGTCGGATAAGACAGCTCACCGTTTTCTGTTGTGCCTAGTTTTGCGTTGAAATCTCCCATTAACACCGTATGTTGGGTTTTGGAGAAATACATGACTTTATAGATATCCTCATACATTTCCTCCGCCTTTTCATCGGGGTGTGCCGAGGTTGGTGCGTAAAGCTGTATGACCTTCAGCGAATACCGTTTGGTGATTCTGGGTATAAGGTACGCAACCCACGTCTATACACTCACAATCTTTACTACGTTGTTAACGAGAGACTTGTGGATAATAAATCAGAAACCTCTTTGGGATAGATGGTCGCTCTCCCAGTGATAGACAAGTTGCCGGATTAGAGGATTACCGTGTCCTACCCCTCTCTTCGCACCTCAGATAATCCTATAATATCCCAGTGCTACTTGTCTATCTCTTTTTCCAGCTCCAGGATCTTCCCGTTAGTCCTCATAGTGCGTATAGCCGATATAACCCAACCAAAAAATATGTATATTTTATGTACATAACTGGTTTCGAGGAAACTCGCTTCTCGTACAATTTAGGTTAAATTTGGTATTTAGATAATGTTTTACTTTACATACAGATTCACGTGTAATGCACATCTATCATGAAAATTCCATAAAAATATAGTTATTTATAATTTCCTCAATATTATTTACGTAGCGGAAGAGAAGAAGCGCGCGCCCAAAAATTTGACACAAATCTTACCTCGGCAACGTCCCGCGGAGCAAGCGACGGGAGGACGAAAATCACATGAATAATCGATAATTGTTTAATGAATCTAATGAAGAAAAAAAACGATCGGGTGGAATCGATTCCAAAATGAATTGCCTATAAATTTATATTTTTTTATAGAAAAAAAAGGGGTATTATTACTTGTTTAAAATGAAATATGGCTTGTAAAAGAACTGCAAATCGAACGTACTTCGGTAATTTTATCCTATCAAGAAAATTATATTGTTCGTGTACTGATTGCCTGCCTACTGTGTATCGTAAGGAGAAGAAAGAATGTATCTAAAATAATTATGTTTTTAGATTCTAATTGTAGTAATTTGCTATCAAAAAGCTATTTTAAAAGGAACAAAAACAGGAACATGTTTTTTTTATGTGTGTCCTTTTTCAATATTATAATATATTTTTTGCAATTTTCGTTAAAATTTGTAAGGCGTCAAACCTTATAAATCAAGGCCGCAGTCATAACATACGCCACTGCCAATTTTATTGCAATTACTCGTAACTACAAAGTTATATCATACTGCACATAACTGTTTTTGATATCAATAATATTTCACACATTTCAACGCATTTTTGATGACATTGGTAATTCAATTTAATCTGTTTTGCAGGTTGGTCATGCACTGCACCTTTTGCACCCCATCTTTAGGTGCTACACGTACAGCGATCGGGTGAAACGAGTCTGTCGGGAACTGGGCTTAAACGAACCCTCTGTGGTACAAAGCATGTACATTTATAAGAATCCAGGAGTAGGCGGTGAAGGTAAATATTTTTTAATTTTTATCTATTAAATTTGGCGCTTTAAAAGTAGATATAGTATATGAAACTACATTCACAAATATAACCTTAAATTTAAATTTATTCTAATACTAGCTGATCCTCACGACTTCGCCTGCGTGTAACTTAGAACTTTTTCTTTTTCTAAAAAAAAGTGGCCTATGTTACTCCTTATAACATCAGGTAGTTGTCGGTGAAAGTCCCGTCAAAATCGACCGAGCCATTTCGGAGATTGGCCGGAACAAACAGACAGACTGACAAACAAAATTTATGAAACTTTTGTTTTTGTTATAAGTATCGTATAAAACTTTCACTTGCATTTAGTAAAAAGCTGTTATTTTAACATTACAAACAGACACTTCAATTCACTATAATAGGGCACACATCATGACTTACTGCTAATAAAATAGCCGAAAAGTGCGACCGATCAGGACTCACACCCTGAGAGATCCGAATAAACTTAAATAGTTGATATTGAAGAAAAAAGTATCAAGTTTAGAATAAAATAACTCTTAAATCAATAATACATGAGGCGAAGGCAATACCCTGCTTCAAATAGGTCACCGCCCTTAGAGGTTAATTTCTCACTGAGTCGTATAGTTTTATTACAAAAGTATATGTATTTTAGTAAATTAAAAAATATAATAATTATATAATCTAGTTGAAAATTTTATTATGATCCCGTATCATTGATAGTATGTACTTACTGTTTGAAAAACAAATTGCAATATCTTCCTTTTTGCGTCGTAATTTATTTTACGTATAGTCTAATAGATCGGGAGATGGTGACAGAAAATAGTCTCCCATTTTCTCCTGCATGCCTTTTTAAGAATTGATAACTAACCCTCAAATATGAAAGATTAGTCAAATCACGGAAAATTTGTATTGAATTTTCACAACATTTTCCTAATATTTTCCACCCTTGGTCATACGATGGGTGCATGCCAATTTTCGTAGAGTATTTTTGAGATAAAAAAACTAATTTTTTACAACGGCATGCAATTTGTAAATACGGAAATGTTCTATTTTTTTTTTCATTTCTACGTAACCCTTTAAGCCCCGTCGGCCGTTGCGAATTGCATGCCATCAATTATTATAGCTTAAATTTGTTCCAACTACGTTATATTACAAAGGCATGCAATATAATGTCACGAAAAAATACTAAAATTCTTTACACAAAGAGAAGCATGAGGTGCAAGCGCGCAAGGGCTCGTAACCCTCTATCTTTCATATTTTAGGGTTAGTTATCAATTCTTAAAAAGGCATGCAGGAGAAAATGGGAGACTATTTTCTGTCACCATCTCCCGATCTATAACATATCATGTACACACTACGAGAAAAGTTATTTGTATTTCCAGTCGTTCCACACCAGGACTCTACATATTTGTACACGGAGCCAATACCTCCTGTCGGCTTTTGGATAGCGCTTCAAGACGCATCTATATCAAACGGATGCCTCTGGATTGTCCGGGGCTCACACAAGTCAGGCGTGCATCGACGTCTTTTAAGAAACCCAGATAAGGAATCTAAACAAGCTCTGATCTACGATAAACCGGCGCCAGTTTACCCACAGTCAAGTTTTACGCCTGTACCCGTCCGAAGAGGTAACTTACCATTTTATTTAACTAACAATCTTCTTAAAAATTAAAGTCTTACTTCACTGCCACACTAGTCATTAAATTTAACATTACATTATTAAATAATTCAATATACATATACAATGTATTTTATTTTTTGTATGTATTATATGTTTGTATGTTTTTAGTATGTATATATACATAAAAATAAGAATATGTATATATGTATATATATATATATACATATATATAAGAATATATATATATATATATATATATATATATATATATATATATATTCTTTTTTAACTCTTTGTTTTCTTCTCTATCACACCAATTTTGCCCTGCCCTTGTCATATTCGTGCAATCCTGTCCTTTCATTGGTTGTCTGGAAGAAATTGCTGTCAGCAATAACATCATACTTCTTTTATATTTTTATACATTGCTTACTTCTTTTATATACCTATATATATAATTTCTGTAATTTATGTATGGTGTGCAATAAAGAATATTAAATAAATAAATAAATAAATAAGCGGTGATGTAGCTCTGAGTGGTGAATAGTACTAGGCATTTCGAAAAGACAATACAAACCGTTTGGTTCAAATGCTAGAAATGTCTAATGTCACCAACGGGATGAAAACCCAACTTGCTAGTTTTCCGAAAGTGAGGAATTAAATCTTAAAATCCTTATAATATTATTATGTACGTTCATTAACGAAAAAAGTGATATAATATGTTATTGACAAGCTCATTTCTGTTATTTTTCCTCTACTAAATGCAAAATATCCTACAAAAGATATTAAAGTATACGTAAGTAAAAAAGAGGCATTCACTCGTCTTGAACTTTAGTATAAACTACCTGTCCCTCGCGACTTCGTCCGCGTGGAATTTACTACGATTTCAAGGGCTTTAATTTTTTTGCACGGAACCCTGATTATTTTTCTAAAATAAAAGTATCCTAAGTTACTCCTTATAGCATCAGCTATCTACCAGTGAAAGTCCCGTCAAAATCGGTCCAGCCGTTTCGGAGATTAGCCTGGAACAAACAGACAGACAGACAAAAATGTTGAAAATTGTTTTTTTTTATTATTAGTACCGTTTATACCTTAATATGCACGTAGTAAAAATCTGTTATTTTAACATTACAAACAGACACTTCAATTTTATTTATTTGTATAGATAACTAACTTGTGTAGACAAAAGCGGATTTTTCACCCATGCACTTTCAAAGTTTTCACCATTCTTCGTTTTTCATATTAAAAAAAGACCTATTTTCATCCTGAGCACTTAAAATTTTGGTTTCTAGTAATCTATACATATAAATAAAATTGATGTGGCAGTCTCCAATATTGCAGTTACTGCCTTATATTGAGCTGAGGAGGTAATTTGAATTTTACAATTAAAACATGAATAACCATTTTCTTCTAAATTCTGTCTGTCTGATTGGGCTAATCTTCTGAATCGATCTGGCTGAATCGATTCAAGAACAGATAAAGAGAAATGCCATGAGTTATCTAGGCTATATTTTCTACAGACTTCAAAAAGGAGCCGGTTCTCAATTCGACTATATGTTGATTTTTATGTGTGTTACCTCATAACTTTTTACTGGGTAAACCGATTACGATAACTCTTTTTTTATTTGAAAGCTGGTACTTCACATGTGGTTCACATATAAATTTGATCAAGGTCTGACCAATAGTTTTTGAGTTATTCTTAATAATTTATATTGAAGTCGGTTGTACAAAATATTTAATTATAAATTATATCAAAAAAAAAACTTGGATATTATTTTTGATTCAGAAAACGAAAAATTGATACTTGGAATAAAATAGTCTTTCATCATCATAAATCTAAATTAAACCACATTAATAGATCCTACCCAGGCGGTCATGGGACCAGGTGGGTCACTAGTATTTAATAAAGTAGGTAATAATTTCATACTTAACAACTTTTTTGGTTTGTCTAGCTATTTGCTTAAAACAAAGAAATTAATAAGTAGAAGTGTTTTAACTTTATTTTCTTCGTCCTCAGGTACTTGCATCTTGCTTCATGGGAACGTCGTCCACAAAAGCGCTCATAACCAGTCGGACAGTAGCCGCCACGCTTACACCTTCCACGTAATTGAAAAACAAGGAAACGTGTACTCAGATGATAATTGGCTACAAGAAGGGCCCAATGCTCCTTTCTTAAATGTTTACACAACTCCTCAAATTGTATAACGCCAATGTATAATAATGTCATAAAAAGGGTGATTGGAATGCAAATATGTATAAAATTAAGTAATTTACTTATCTGAAAGTGGTTATTTGAAAACCTAATATTTAGTTTTTCCTTTAAAAATAACACATGCATTTTGCATTCCAGTCATAAATAATCACATCTTTATAATATGAACAAAATCCTCAGTCGTAATTTTTATAAATAAAAAAATCTCTGGAGAACGATAAAATTAATTTCTTTATATATTTTTTTATACTTTTGTACCATTTTTATTTTATCGTTAAAGAAAAAGATTCTTTATTTTCTTTATTTAGCAATAAGTAAAAAAGGATTTATGCTAAGTAAACCCCAGGTTTTGTTAGTGTTGGATGAATTATCTTTCTTGAAGTTATAAATTAAATCCTACCCTTTGGAATCTTGAACCTACAATCTTATTGCACGTTATTGAAGCCATTGAGTATACGAATTGTAATGAGCAAATATTATATAACTTTAAATGAGTCAATGAATTGACGGTTCCGTAAAAAAAAACACTTCTATAAAACATTTATTTATATATTGACTATACTTCACCAAAAACCAAGAAATTAATACCTTTTGACGTTTCACATTGATCATTCCGCAATAACTTTGTAGGAGAGTACTTACACAATTTAAAATAACCTTTTACGTATATCCAAAGAATTATGAAGCTATCTATATTTCATTGCATTCTTTATCACTACTAATTTAAATTCGAATCTTTCAAACAATGCAAAATACAAAGAGATTTAAATATATATGTATACTACTTAAATGTCTTTGGCAAAATATAAAAGAAATTACCAGAGTTTATTTTTTGATTGATGTTTTTTCAATGATATATCGTTAAGTACGAGTACCTTTACCTTACCGCAGTGTTTGGATAATTCTACTTCATGTTAATTGCGAATAATCGGTAAAAATATTCAAATAATCGTATCATTACACATATTTTGTAATTATTAATTTTTATTCATAGTGTTGCATAAATAATATGAATCATGAACGAAAAAAGTCTATTTTTTAATGGTTTCTGTGAATTCCACTGCGGCGAAGTTGTGAGTAAGATGCCGACTTCTACAATGATAGAGTAAATGTAAATATTATTGAGAACCATTTCAAAAGGAATTGGCATGCGATACAAAAAAATTGGCACAGAATTTTTTAAGAGAAATTAAAAATATAACCATTGATGAAACATAACTAAACGTCAGCTACACTGAGCCGCAGACATGGACAGATGGCATGTGCCCGTGGGGAAAAGGTGGGCGCCTCACAATTTGCCATGCGGGGTCCGCCGATGGAGGATTTGTAGAAAGTACAGTAAATACACAAGGGATGACTGGAATGCCACAAAGCACGGTACTGAACCACCTGCATCCATCGACTTCCTGCATGTCTTACCATGTCGTCACTCCATCTCTTGGGGGTCGGCCTACACTTCTCCTACCGTTACGAGGCTGCCACTCGAGAACCTTTCTTCCCCATCGGTTGTCGGTTCTTCGAGCTATATGGCCGGCCCACTGCCACTTCAGCTTACTAATCCGTTGGGCTATGTCAGGTACTCTGGTTCTACTGCGAATATACTAATTTCTAAGTTTATCACGCAGAGAAACCCCGAGCATAGCCCTCTCCATATCTCGCTGAGCGACATTGAGCTTCCTCATACGGCCAGCAGTGAAGGACCACGTCTCAGATCCGTAAGTCATCACTGGCAACACGCACTGGTTGTACAATTTCGTTTTAAGGTTTTGAGGTATTACTGACGAGAAGATGTGTCGTAGTTTCCCGAACGCTGCCCAGCCGAGTTGAATCCGTCGATTTACCTCTCGGTCGAAATTGGACTTACCTAGTCGGACTATTTGTCCCAGGTAAACATACTCGTCAACAACTTCGAGCATAGTTCTCCAAACAACTACCGGCATAGGTGTGACATGGACATTAAACATGATCTTTGTTTTGTCCATGTTCATCCTAAGACCTAATCGTTAGGAGACACTATTGAGGTCATTGAGCATGGTACTTAGGTTCTCCAGCGATTCTGCCATAAGGACTATATCGTCGGAAAATCAAAGGTGAGTGATGTACTCGCCATTTATTTTAATACCGTATCCTTTCCAGTTCAGCAGCTTGAAAACGTCTTCCAATGCAGCGGTGAAGAGTTTCGGGGACATAACGTCACCCTGCCTTACACCTCTGCAATTGGATAGGTTTCGTACTCTGATGCTTTGTGGCATTCCTTGGGGGAGGCCTATGTTCAGCAGTGGACTTATGAAAGGCTGTAATGATGATGACACAAGGGATGACTGGGCCAAAGTGATGGAAACAAACAAAATGTTAGGATGACTATGAATGAATTATAGTCAAGTAATCAAGTAATTATTAACGTAAGCAACGATTATGACGCCGACAGCTCAGTTGTCTAACTAGTTAGTTGTAGTGCGTGATTAAATAAATTTTTAGTCTAGTGCGGTATTTAATTTATAGAACTTCATCTCTAAAAATTTGCAGTAGGCAATAAATATGAAGAAACTGATATATTATGTGTTGTGAGTTATCTATTTCTAATTAATTTTGGTATTAATCTAGGTAAACTGTAAATTATCAACTCTAAAGAATTTATATCAATTTCTCTTAAGAGTCGCATATTGCAGGTGCCGATTTTTCAGTTGGAATCACGAGTAAATAAACGGAACAGAGATAAAGCTTCATACCTACAAACGCGCGAATCGGTTGCATTACTACAAGCACGCGGGGCATGATTGCTCGACCACTGGTCGCTTGTCACGTACGCGGCGAGACTGGAAAAAACCGGTTACACGGCACAACAAAAGTGGACAATAATCTCAGGTTCAGTGCGACGCGCGTTGTTTGTTTTATTTGTTGCAAGTTTGAATATTTTAATGTAAAAACGTGGTATTATTAATAATGGTTGTTTATTGTACTGTTTATGAATAATACTAGAAAAATAAAAATATATCATACTTTAACTATCCCAAGGCGTACCGTCAACTGTTTTATTAACATCTTTTTTGTCGTTTAAAAGTCGTTGTCGTAAAATTCTCAACATTAGCATAATTTTTGACGTTTATGCAATCTACGCAAACATAGAGTTAGAGTTATCTAAGTTTTTATTGATTTATTTTGTAAAAAAAGGTGTGTCTCTTTTGGTTGAAACATTGAATTCTACTAAATCTCACATAGAATCGCTATAATAACCAAGAGTATCAGCGGGGTAAAATTGACACATTTTTGGCAACTTTACCTGGCCTACAGTTTACATTGAATGTGTATCCTAGAGTGCTAAAAAAGTGATGTATTTATTTTTGAAGTCACCATCTTCGTATAAGTAAGAGCTACCAATACATAGGTAAAGTTGCCCCAAGAATTTCAAAATTATTATAGAAATGGGTGGATGACATCAGGGTTGTCAAAAAATAATCAAACAGTAAATCATTATTTAAATAATTATTAGTAAACCAAGCAATAGGAATTTTTGTTTATGCGTTACAGTTTAATACTTATTGTAAAAACAGTAACAAAAATTATTCTAGATATTAAAACTTTGCCTAAAACAAAGGTACTTCCGTAAGAAGTTGTATTTTTGTTTCTAACTACATCAACAGTCAATAACAGCATATCCTCAAACTAAATTTTGTAACTCGGCGTTCCCCAACTTGTTCTTCTTAGTTTGACACGATTTTTTGAAGGCATCTTGTATGTATCTGAAATAAGTAATCAGACAAATTGGTTACTACTACAAAATACATCATATAAAAGAATAAAATAGAATCGATAGGTATTATATTTAAAGTTACCATTCTGAATAACTGAACAAAATCTTAAAACAGTTACCACATAATACCAGATTACTGATGTGTTGGCACTCATTTTGACAACCCTAGCTATAGGTAAAGTTGCCTTCGTGCAAAGTGAGGTAACTTTACCTAAGCTCAAGCAATATTACCTTTTCCAATAACTCAAGAAATAGAAGATTTATAGGATTGAAGCATTGCAATCCACCTTAATAAGAATATATCAAATATTATTCAATATGGCTTATATTGAATAATATCTGATATATTCTTATTAAGGTGGATCGCAATGCTTCAATCCTATAAATCTTCTATTTCTTGAGTATCCTTAATAAGAATATATCGAATATTATTCAATATAAGCCACTTACCTGCACTTTGATATTCTGTAAGAAATACCAATCCTTATGCGATGCAGCTGCGAACATAATTGACACATAGAATGAAAAAGCACGCTAATTTGACAATCAACGAAGTAGCTAGCTTGAAAAACTTTTTAGGATACCACAATTTATTATAAAATCCACGAATATGTCTAAAATTGCATCAAGTGCCACATACAAAATAATATTTAATGAGAACTAGTATAGGGTATGTTCGCTAAAGATGCCCACGGAAGGTAAGGATGCCACAGATGACAGTACTAGGTAAGTAAATATTTGATTATTACTTTTCAAGTAAGTACCTTTATTTTATTGTATGATCCGTCTTTTAATAAGAAGAGGGTATTACACGGTGTATTTTTACCTTTTTGTTGTTATTACAAGCTTTTACTAAATATTTGTAGGCATGTGGGTGGGTTAAGTTCACATATTGCGAGTAAGATTTGAACCAATTCCCGATGTCTGATTGAGTTGAAATTTTGGTTAGCGTAACATCAGTGATAATGTGATAATATGATAGATATATTGTTTTGTTTAATTTGTCTTCAACTATCGTGACAAGCCTACCAAAATAGGTAACAATTTTGCACGTTCTTAGGAAGCTTTGCCGGTTCCGTTTATTTACTCATGTGGTTGGAATGCTTATTGGCTTAGTCCGATAAATGTGACAGCTGTCAAAAGATATTTCTTAGATAGATGTTTACGCAGTTGCATGTAATTTATTACTATGATTTTTGTTTACTGTGCACAATGATTATGGTTTAGATTTTTTTTTGTGTC